CCTTGGCATTATTAAGCTTGTCTTGGGAGCAGACCGAAAACAAGGGACAGAATGTCAATTAATTTGAGCATGAAAATTCATCGGCAAAGCAACTAGAGGAAGGCAGGGAGAACACCACAGATGGTTGTCAGCAGGAAATGGATTTTTCTGCACAGACCTAGGACCTTACGGCCCTTCTCACTTCTATTGTTTAAGGATTCTGCTCAGTATAGGACAATTTGGGGTGGTTGAAAGCTGTCTTACAGAGCAATAATTGGTGCTCTGAACAAAGAAGAAAACTGAACAGAGTCAGCATGGGCTGAGCAATGATGGGAGGCGAATGGACTCGCACATGTTGCCTTTGCTGTGCAGGTTGCAGCAGGTCAGACACCGCCCCAGGGGACAGGGTCCCTTTTGGGTCTGGCACATTGGTGAGGCTCCGGCACCAGCCTCAGCCCTGGCATGTTCCCCCAAAGCACCGACTGCCCTATGAGGGTGGGATCCTGCAGCTACACCTCCCGAGAGGGGCCCAGCACACGGTGCACAAGCCGAAAGTGGAGCCCACCAGCACCTGCCTGTGCACAGCAGGAATGGCAGCGAGCACTGCCTGGCCCCCCTGCGGCCCCGGTTGGATTTTGCACTGTGCAGCACTGCAGAGACCTCATTTATTTCAAAGCCTCAGGTGCTGCTGTAATGCAATTGCTAACAAAGTCCTCTAGAACACATACATCCAAAATAAAGAGCAGCACTTAACCCCGACACGCTTTCCTGATCATGCACAACTCCCTTCCCTTCCACCCTGCCAGCTCTCCTCCTCTCGCTGCGTAACCGCAGCCACTAATCACGGTCACAGTCCTGAGCCAGCAGCAAGCCCTCCGCTAGCTCCTCCCAGTCAGTCTCAAAGCCCTCAGGGCAATATTTTAACATTTCCCCTACCGTTCTCACTTGATTTCTGTAGAATATTTACACAGGTTTCCTCTGGAGGGCCATTCTAAACAGCAGTGCTCTATATTTACACTTCGCATGCACTTTAAGGAACTCGCTACGCTTGAGATGTGCCTGCGCACGCACAGGGATGCTCCTGCAGGAGCAGAGCCATGAGATGCTCTCCTCAGACTGCTGGCACATCACCCTGCATGATCCCACATTAAAGGGGTTCGCCTCCCCTGGGGCAGCAGGGAAGCCCCTCAAGGGCAGCTGGATGGCAAAGCCTGGAGCAGGAGCAGCTCCAAGGGCTCGGAGCTTTGTCCCCCAGTGACAGCCCCATCCCAGTGCTGAAGGTGTGCTGGCATCGCCCATTGGCACAGCACACACAGGGTCCCACCACATCTGGCCGGACAGCCTGGATGCTCCCAAACACTCAGTGGCACAGGAGCAGATGTCTTCGGCCCGAATACACCGGGAGAGCCTGGCAGCATTTATCTGCCAGCTAGTTACAAGCCAGGTCAAACCCTTTGCAAATTGAAGAGGCAGATATAATAACCTCTGAAGGAATTTTGATTCCCAACAAACAACTTGAAGCATTGCCCTAATACAAGAATTAATAGTTCCACACTATTAGTGCAACCCTTCCCAGGAAAAACAGGGGAGCAGCGCTGCCATCTCACACCCACCTGCCATGAAATTAGTTTTTACACTAACACAAGTCATCAGGAATGGCATCTACCTTATAATGAAAGATGCCCTTTTAGCGAGCTGTTCGTGCTATCGTACCACAGCAGTACAGCCATTTCCAGCAGGAGCCAAAGTGCTTCCCATTTCTCTTCCTTCGGTTGCAGTTCAGCATCATTTTTTTCCCCCACCCTCCCCAGTGACCAGCCACTGCTGCTTTCAGCAGCCAGTACCCACACGGAGCCACCTCTTTTGGGATCTGCACCCGTGTACACCAAATGAAAATTAAATTAGCACAAAGCTGGACCGCCTGTTCCTCCTCTCCAGCCCCCCACACCGCTCTTTGTAGGCTCCACGGCCACTGCCTGCAGCAAGCAGATGCTCAGGGGCCTGGCACGGGGCTGGGGCAGCTCCTGCAGCTCCAGCAGAGCCCTGCTGAGAGCCGCCCGCACCGCGTGCCATCACCATCACATTGCCACACTCATCACTCCAACTTCAAAGGTGCTTTTCTCTCCTTACAGGGGAGTGCTGGGAGTTTTTGTTCCTGCTCGTCGTTTAGGCCCTACGTGGCTGGTGGAAGAAATTTTAATTAAAAGCTGTTCTGCTTTTATGTCCAACGTGCTTCAATGGGAAACGCATCCTTCTGATGCCTGAACTGCCTACTTAGTATTTCTTACACCTCCTAAGCAGCTGGTGCAAGGCAGCACTAGAATTAGGATCAGGAGCTCGATGGAAGCCGTGTGGTGTGGCTACAAAATCCTCTGCTCCTCCGTTAACACTGCTAATTATAGCGGTGGCTGGAGTCCAGCTGATGGCCTGAGAAAACAAGTCAGTAGGCCTAGAGATCAGGGAAAATGTGCTAAAACCCATCCAGGCATCTCTTAGCAGGTGGCTTGCTGTCTTCTGTGACCTGCGTTTCATCTAGGGGCAGTGGAAAGTGTCTCAAATAAAGGCCCGTTTCCCTGCTGAGCCAGGAAGAACATTTCATACGTTACAGCACAGTGGAGTTTGCACTTGCTTGCTTTGCAGGAATCTGATTTTTTTAATTTTTTTTTTTTAGTAACAAATAGCTGTCTGGTTGTTTTGTCTTTCTCATGCAGAAAAATACACATGTGAGAAGTGTTTAAACAGGAGAAAAATTGGCTTCCTTTAGGAAAAATGGCATTTAGAATATTTAGGCTTCGAAACCACGTTAAAGCACGATGCCTTCCAGGCTGCCACATTCCCACAAGTGCTCATCACAGCAGCGGTGCTCCAGCCTCAGCATGTTTGCAGGGTGTGAGAACATCCCAGGTCCCCGAGGTTTTGCAGCTCATCCCGTGCAGCAACAGAGTTCTCCCAATTTACCAACCCACTGGTCTACCCCCGTGCTTGCAAGAGCGCCCAGCTGGGCTCCAAACCCCCGTACAGGTCCACAGGCAGCATCCAGGATCACACCACCACAGCCCAGCAGCTCCTTAATACATGCAGCCCAACGCTTCGGGACACTCCCCTCGAGACCTTTGTGCTGTTTACAAATTCCGAGGAACACCTCGAGTCACTTCTGGCATGGACTTCTGATTTATTTTAAAGAAAAATGGGACAGAGCGTGTGGGTCTGTGTTTAATGGGAAAAGGGATTTGGAAATGAAAAGTCAACCGGCATGAAAGACTGCAGGGCAGACGGAAAAGCAGCAAAGCTTGGGGGTGGTCTCAAATACCCGTATAATAGGATATGTGTAAGGAAAAGAACACTCAGGGTTGTAAGGTTTAGTAACGCCGCTCATTTTTACCCAATCAATAACATAATTGTAATTTTCTGGAGCAAATTGCCTCTAACTCCCTTTTCTGAAGGGGAGAGCAGCACAAAGGGGACACGGGCTGGGGCAGCGCTGCCGAGCCCACCCATCCCCAAGCCCCGGCTGGGTGGGTGCTGCCCCCATGGCCCCAAGCAGCTCGGGGGCAGCCGTAGCACCCACTGGGGGCTCCGCACCTCACAGAAACTTCTGCAGAGATCAGCGGGAGAGGAGGGACGGGGAAGGGGTGTGTGCTGTGCTGGCACCTGCTGGGGAGGCACAAGGGCCATCAGGAGCTCCGGCACATTTCAAACTCGTCTCGGTACAAGTTCCTCCTATAAAGCTAAGCCCTACCTTCTGCTTCAGCACTTACAGCACAAACGCAAATTATTTTTCACAATCGAGAAGAAATGCTTCAAGATGAAAGGCTTGCAGAGGTACCCAGGACTGCGTTGCCATTCTGCAGCAGCGCTCCTTGTTCCACTTAAAGCAGAAGCTGCCACGCTTTAATTCCTACAGGTTAGCATAAAGAGAGGCAGCGAGCACGTCTCTGCACAGGCTCATCGCTGGGCTCCATCTCTGCTGCCTCACAGGGGTGATTGCCTCCAGTGCTGCCAGCCCGCACACCAGCTCCAAACGGAGAGCATTTTACAGGCACAGGGGTGTCTGTTCGTCTCTTTTAGCCTTTGGGAAGTAAAAGACTTTTGATAAGAAGAAAATGTAACAGCTGTCGTGTTTTGGATGTGAATCAAGCAATAAATACCAACATGAAGATTAATGCCCAGGTTGGGATGGAAATATTTCCATCCTCGAATCGAAACAAGGGGAGGAAACGATAACTGCAGCAGAGCGTAACCCTGCTGAGGTCAGGAGAGGCGTCAGCATGCAACCAGAGCCTAGGAGCCAGGAGCCCCAGCAGCAGGCAGGGCAGCAGAGGACCCAGGGCAGAGCTCAGGAGCTCGCCACAGAGGCTGCTGTGCTGGCACCACAGCAACCAGAGAGATGGAAACGGGGCAGGGGAAAGCGAGGAAGGTTTTCTTCAGGGTGTGTGCACAGCGGGCACCAAACCAGCCCTGCAGAGCAGGGAGACAGGAAGGCTGGAGGATGCTTTGCCTCTGATCTAGGTTTCTGTTGCGAACAACCTTCAGTTTTTCTATGCATTAGCTCCTCGTTTACCTAATGAGGATCCTTCTCCCCTCTGCCCTGCCCACTGAGGTAGCACAAGCTAATTAGCAGAATGACCTTTCCCAACACGCCTGCACAGAGCCTCTGACCTCAACCACAGGAGGAGCTCCCCCCTCTTGTTTTCACAGCAGAGAGATTCCAGTGCTGATTGTTTGATTCTTGGGTGCCCCTGTGCTAACAAACCTTCCCTCCCAGCAGAGGGAAGCACGATGCAGGCACCCCATTACCCCGTTCCCTCAGCACGGGCAGTTCCAGGTGCTAAACCAAGCACACCCCCGACCAACTACAAAGCAGCCCCTCAAACTAACAGGGGCACCACGGCCACAAAGCACTGCCCACATACACCAGCTCCCAAACACATCCCCTGCCAAATGGGACAGGTAGAAAAACATGAGAAAACCCTCAGGAAACTGCACCGAGTAATAGAAATACAGAAAAAAACACAACTCACATGCCAGGCAAGCAGCAAGCCCCCTTCCACCATCCTCTCTCCAACAGCTCCCCAGGGCTACCCTGGCTGCATCTTTATTCCCTTTGGGGCAGCAGGTGACCCCACTGATCCCCTCAGCTCCCACTGCCTCCTTAAAGCCCAATTGGAGGCTCACTGCCAGCAGCTGTGAGTCTTTTGGCTATTAGGAAAGGTGCTCATCGTTTTAACCTGTTCCTGCCCAATGTTTTGCAGGGTTTCACCCCTGCTAGCCCCAAATCCGAGGGTTCAGCAGTGCTCAATGCCCACGGCCCAAGCTCAGCAGCCTGGTGAGCCCCTCACAGAGCAGGGCAGGTCCTGGCTGAGGCTCTGGGTCTGGACCAGCCCAGGGCTGGGGCTCGTGGGGAGCTCATAGGGCCAGACATGGGTGGTCTGTGCACCCTCTGCGCATCTGCACCTCCAGCAGTGCCTCTGGTGCTGGGGAGCCAAGTGAACGGCTGCTAGGAGGTGGGCCGGGTGCCTCGGAGCCAGACACTGGCTCCAGGTCTCCTTTGGTACACAGAAAAAAGGCAGAGAGTTTGAAAGGCTCAGCCATTATCCTTCAGGACAATAACACAATAATTAAAAACACCCTACGCAGTCCATTTTCCTGCTAGACCTTGGAAGAATATAATAGGCAGGAGAACAATTACCAGGACCCTTTTCTTCTAGCCCCAAAAGAGCCTCACGACTGACAGAGACTTGAAAGCTCAGAGCTGTGCTCTCAGGGAGAAGACGAAACGCTGCTCAGAATATAGATTTGGTGCCAGATGGGAATTACAGCCCTGATCCATCCTCCTCTGTCACTGGAGTCTGTGTTGCTCTGTGGGCTAAATGGAAGTGAATACAGCTACTTTCCCTGTCTTGGGGGAAAAAATGACATTCCATTTTGTCTCCAAAAAATACACATTATTTAACTTATAAAATATTTAATCTACGTAATTAATCCTCTCATGACAGCGCTTTGCACATTTTTGCTGGCAATCCATACTTTGAATGGCCTATAGTTATAGCTAACTTTGTTTCCTTTTTCTCATGAAATTAATCAAAGGCTTGTATTCTAAATTATTCAGGAACCGAACGAAGCCTGCTTTCTGTGGCTTGCAGCAAGAAAACTCCGATTTCTTTCCCCTGCCAGCAGCTCGGCGATGCAACTTCTCCAGGGGGAGCACCACGAGCAGAGCTGCACCGCGCCGTGCGCTGCCCGTGGCAGCGAGCCCCCGGGTCCCAGGGGCAGCCGAGGCTGAGCGACTGCTGGACATGGCATCACACGTGTCCTCTGCCTCCTGGAGGGAGCAGCAGCTCCAAATCCCCGAGGTTCCCATGTACTGGCCAAGTGGAAGAGGCCCCTTTTGCAGAAGCCGAGCTCCTGCAGCTCCCAGGTGCTGCCCGCCAGCGCACCGAGCTCTCCAGCAGAAAGTTTGGGCACCTCACTCCTAGCATCTTCCACCGAGAGCTTGAAGGGCAGTTTCTTCACACAGACCAAGAGAAAGTGGATCTCTCATGAATCTCCTGTCCGATTTGGAGCCCCGAACACCCCACAAAGCCTGCACCCACAGGGCTCCACACCTCTCGCTTGACCTGCCCCGTGCCGGCCACTTCTGCCATCGTCCCCTTCAGCTCGTGCCGCACAGTGTTTGTGTGATTTCAAAGGGTTTGATTTGCATTTGGTCCCCTCTGGTGCTGGTGTTCCTAAAGCTGGCCGGAGCCTGGTCTCCCACCGCAGCTGAGCTGCAGGAGGAGCCTGATCAGAGGCTTGGTGAGGTTTTGAAGTCCTTTATCAACACTTGCTCTTCTCAGCTCCTGGATGTGCATAAGGCTCTTGCTGGATTCAGAGTTCAGCCCCTTTGAAGTTTTCACCTCCGGGGCTTATTTTCTCAGCAGAAAATTCTCAGTATCACTTGTGGAGGAGCCATATGGAGAGTCTCACTGCAAGGGAGACACACTTGCTGTTCCGCTAAGGAAGAGCTGCATATGAATTTCCTGAGATCCTTTTATTTTTCTTATCTGAAATACTTTCTTCTTTCCGTGAGCAGCCCCCACCGGCAGCCCCCCAGGAGCCTGCTGTCTCCTCGGGCTCTTGCCCAGCACCACGCAGGATTTAGCGGCTCTGCTGAGTGCCAGCAGCAAGCTGCAGTCCCGCGGCGGGGCCCTGGCAGGAGCTTTCTGCAAGATGCAGAACATCACCGCTCCCCCGCGCGGGCTCCCAGGAAACTCCAGACCTTGCAGCCTCTGTCCCCTTCTGCCTGACTAATCTGGGAAATCAATTGTGAGCACTCAGTACAGAAAGGAGACCCAAAGGGGGCTGGCAGTTCATTAACTGTGCCCAGGAAAATGTCCTTGCCTGCCCTTAACCTTCAGGCTTTGGTTTGGAAGTCGGTCTTTGTTACCAAACACTATCGGCGAGTTGATAGAAAACTCTATTTTCTGGCTGCTGCGCTGCCCAGTGGGCTGTCAGCTGCTGGCACTTCAAGAAATGCATCCCACAGCACACCTGACTCGACTCGCATCAAGAAAAGGGGCAGGGGTTTGTTAGAAAGCTTTCCCAGCAAGCAGCTAGATGTAACAGCGACAAATCCTGTAAGAAAACCTGAGGAGTAAACAGCAAGCATTAGTCATGGCGTCGGGAGCCAGCAGCTGTGCTGGCAGAATACAGCGAAGTTTCAGTCTCCTGTATTGTTAATGAGCTCAAAAATTCATAGACAAAGAAAAAAAATATATATATTTTAAAGCAAACCCATAGAATGAAGCATATTCTCCTGTACAGAGTTCAGTGTAATCCAAGCAGCACGGCACTGTCTTAATGCATCAAAGCATTCGGTGCTGTGGTACAGATACAGGAAGCCTGTTAATGATGGAGCAAACATCGTGAGCATCATTGTTAATCAGGTTCTATGGATTTATGAAACAAATACACACACTTGTCTCGTTTAATATTATTTTCCAGTTGGAACCTTATTTTAATACAGATACCCTGAAATTATACCATTCATAAATAATGCAAGCAATAAAACCTTTCCCTTATCCCCTAGCCCATACAAATGCAACATCAAATGTGGATTTACAAAAAATGGTAGAACTTTGGGTTTAAAAACGAAAGCAAGTAAAAGATGCCAACTACCATGAGACCTAGTGGCAATCTGAGGAAGACACTCAGCTTCCAGGCTCCAAGTCACAAACCAGTGTTTATTTTCTAGGTGAGAACCCTCGTTTTTGTGCTTGGAGCTGGATCACGGGGTCACGTCTGGCTTTGGGCACGCAACATGGCCAGCAGGGTGCAGGTGCTGAAGGAAGCTTTACCTGCGTGGAGCACGGAGCTGTGATGGCACCAAGTGAAATACTGCATGCCAGGGAAGATCCAGAGCTCCTGATCCTAAGAGACCAGCAGAATACCTGACCTGGCTTCACATCCGAGCCCATCAGAAACAATCCCCACTGCTGAGCACTGATAAGACTGCCAGCTCCCCGAGCTCTGGCTTTTAGCAGCTACATCTGCAGGGAGGCTCACAGAAGTCACCCCCCCCCTTGCCTCTGAGTTTTCTTGGGTTTCAGAAAGCTCCCAGGTCACCAGTGAGATGCTCATGGCCAACAGGGGCCCGGGAGCTGCTCGTGGGGATGCTCCAGACAGAGGGGCTGGAGGCTCAGGCACTGCGGCTGCTCTGGCTGGGCGAGGATCCGCCTGTGCTTCGACTCATTTGCTATGCATCTTCTACATAATTCATACCTCAGAGATTGCTGAAAATCAGAACCAATAAATAAGGCAGTAAAATTTGTGTTTTTGGTCTAGTTATTGCAAGGCAGAACACAGCTAAAAGAAAAGCACCGTGCCCCTCTTTGCTGGATTTGGTAAAAACCTAACCACAGGCAGAATTGTGTTTCCAACCAGTAAAAGACAATTGCCTTTTTCCGTTTAAATTTTTGGAAGAACTGATGTGTCTTTTGTGCTCAGAAAGCTGGGACTAGTTTTAATGAGATGGGGAGAAGGAAGAAAAGAATCTATGACCTGTGGGGCCTTCTGCAGGCTCAGAACAAACAGACTCGGAGACGGCACAGGCAGAAATGCCAATTAGGTTCCCTACAGTCTTATCTCCTGCCTGGGTTCTTCCCCTGCTGCACATTTTCCAGTAGTTTCTAGTAATTTCTCCAGGCAGCTTTCAGTGTCCTAAGCACGAGCAAAACACCGCTGCATTTCCAGGTGCTTGCACACCCGAGCATCCCCAGCTCTGCCCACCAGCGGCCGCCCACCCGTGCGTGTCCCTCCCTCTGCCCTTTTTGACCTGCTCGACCTTCTTCCCAGCACTGGCAGACCCCAAGTGCCCGTTACACACCTGAGTGTGTGTGTGAATGTCCATGTGCACGGGACTGTGTGCGTGTGCTGCCCCTGGCCCTGCCCTGCTCAGCCTGGCAGCTCGGAGCAGTGTTGGTGCGGGGCCGCGGGGGATTTGCGCCCGCCTGCGCAGGAGAGCGATGCTGACAAAACACAGCCAGCACGCGGGCTGAGCCTGCTCCGCCAGCAAACAAGGGAAGAAAACAGGCTCAGTGGCTCAGATAAACCCCAGAGCCTGCATTTGAATTTACAACGAGCTGCTCAGAGGAGCTCAATCTGTCAAGCACCATGTCCCATTAAGACGAAAATGTGAAGGTCTCAGCAGAGCAGGCAGACAACCTCTCACTCTTAGAGGATGCTTGTGAGGCTGGCACCCAGGCTGCTCCCAGCAGGACAGTTCCTATCCCAAACATTTCTCCAACAGAGGCCACTGCTTACTGGCCGCATACTCTTTCCCATTTGCATGTTCATTCCTTGTTTTCCCATTAATTCCCTGCTCACCAGACCTGTACGTGCCCATGCCCGCAGTGTCACTCAGTGCAGGGTGTGTGGGGCGAAGCCCTCACAGCCCCAGTGAAACACAGGGAAAGGGGGGTCTGCTGCTTCCCACCCCTGTAACCAGGCAAAGGGGGCACACCTGGGCCACATCCATCCTCGCTGTGCAGGACGCTCGGAGCTTTGGGTTCACCCACAGCAGCACTTCGAGCCGCGGCTCTCTCTCCCCCGACCATTGCTTTGCCTGCTGCTGGAAAATCCTAAGTGAATGCAGCTCTCTGCCAGAAACAGGGAAAAAAAAAACATACTTTGTTGTTTCCCGTCCTTGTTATAAGAAGCAAATGCCTCATATTCTCCCCTGCTCAGGTGCATGTTGTAGAGATAACACTTCGAGGAGCTGCCTTGGTGTTGTTCAGAGGTGCCACTGGAGACAGATCCTGTGGCAAGCTGCGTTTAGCTCAAGTTTTGACTTTGAAAAGGATGCCTGTGCCTGTGTGACGAGCCAGAAGACCCATGCTCTCTAGTCTCCAAGCCCACCAACCCTTCCTGC